CACACACACACACACACACACACACACACACACACACACACACTTACACTCACACTGTTGCCATGGAAGACAAGCCTGGCTGCAGGCTCTGTCGAGGCTACCGTCAAGAAAGCCCCTGGAGCAGGTCTACTCTAATATCACACTGGGGCACCTGGGTCCGAGTCAACTCGAAGGCACCGGTTTGGTGTAGTTTGGATGACATATGGGAGGTGTTTCAGGGCAGGATTTGAATTGCTCAGAGATGAAGGCCCCTGCTTTGGGCCATGTCCCCTACATCCCACACTTGCTCGTTTCCACCCCCTCAGTTTCCCCCTGAGTCTGCTGATGTGACAGATTGCCCTGTCGTCTTTGCTTTCAGATCAAGTTTTCCCTCCCACATGCAACATAGGGAAGAATTTTCTGTCTCTGAATTACCTTGCTGAGTACCTTCAACCCAAGGCTGCGGAAGGGTGTGTGATGTCCAGCCAGCCCCACCCCTGGAATAAGGAAGTCCATATCATCGAGCTGATCACCCCCAACTCCAACCCCTACAGGTAAGGTGAAGGTTTCCACTCGACTGAGAAGAGATGGACGTTTCCTCTAAACCTGCGGTTCTTAACCTGTGGGTCGAGACCCCTTTGGGGGTTGCAGTAGCAATGAAAATAATTTTATGGTTGGGGGATCACCACAGTACGAGAAACTGTATTAAAGGGCCGCGTCATTAGGAAGGTTAAGAACCACTGCTGTATACTGAGACAAGATGATCCTTCCTAATTGAAGACAGGGCGTCTTCCCCATTCAGTCATGACTGACGAAGCAAACTAGAGCAGACCCAGATTTGTCAAATGTGAGTGGACCAGTACAAGAACAGGAAAAATGAAGGGTCCACGCCCTCTAGAAAGTTATTCTCCCTCTTAGAAACAAGGTCACCATCCGCATTTCATAGCCACGAAATCTCATGACCAGCAAGCATCAGAAGCAGTGGTGCCCTGCTCAAAGTCGGAGGCTGACCACACTTCTTTCCATGTGTGTTACTCTCTGTAGCCCTAGCAATAGTTTCGTCTCTTGAATTGGGCTCCTGAGAGGGCTTACTGTGCCTCTTCCCAGTCTCTAATTCTAGGGCTTGATCCCATAAGTTTTCCCGTTCCAGTTGTCAGTCTGTTTCACCCAATCAGAATTCACTGTGTTGGCCATGCCTGAACAGGTTCAAACCAATGTGAACCATTGAACACCCTGCTTGGGGGGAGGATGTGCAGATCTGTCTGTGTAGGAGAGAGGGGGGCACCAGTTGATGCCTTCATTGGGGCTCCCTGAAGCTTTAAAGAGGGGACTAGTGTCTTTTCATTCCGGCCTGTGTCTCTGGAGCACTCTCGCTCCAGATGATGAGCGCTGGGAGCCTTTTCTGGACCTCCGAGTACGGATTATAGGACCCCACTCCTCTGGATCCACCATTAGCCCCCTTGGCTGAAGTTATCTCTGCTAAGGAAATTGCAAAGTGGAGTATTGTTCACATAATTATAATTTTAATTCTATTTTGTTTTTAGCAAAGTCCTGATCATAATGACCTCAGAGCGTTGTGCCTTCAAAAGGGTTCGTTTTCAGGCTCTGTCTCTGTGTTGGGGTGGCCTTTGTGGTGCTATACTAAAAAGAGCCATTAGATGCAATGACTTGTGTTCTTGTTCACCCTCCCGGCCCTCATCTTCCTGCCTTTGGGCTGGAAACTTGACCCTCCTTAGTAAGAATGATTAGGGAACTGAAAAATTGAAAGAAGAGGGAGAAAAATCGCTTTTGCTTCCATTTTAGATGGCATGTTATGTGAACTAGTGACTTTGGTTTTTAAATGTATGTTGTAGAAGGATTTTTAAAATGAGTAAAATGTATTCTGTTTATTGTTGTTGAGAAACATACAGAGTAAAACATACACCTGTCAACTGTTTATGCATTTATACTACACTTGATTTTAGCCAAAAGACCGAGAAGCGGTTTGTGCATTTATAGATTACATTGAGTTAAGAATCATTCTTATACCTTTCTTTTCTGCTTTTCTGAATTGCCCTACCCTCATTAACATTGTCACTGCCCCCCTAAGCTTCTAATCTAACCTTTCAAGTTGCTCTTGTCGATTTGATCCCATATATAGATAGTTCTTTAAGAGATCATAATGCAATGAGTGTACAAATGTGCTTTACATAATTGATGTATGTATGGATTGTGATGAGTTGTATGAGCCCCTAATAAAATGATTTAAAAAAAAGAGCGAGATCATAATGCTCAAGACAGAAACCCCACTCCTCCCCACCCCCATCCCCCCCAAGTTAAGCTAGTTTGAATTTAAGAAGAATTCAGGACTCCTAGGGAATTTGAAATTCCAATGTGCATTTCCTCCTTTTTGATCCGAATTCTTGGACAGAATCTTTGATCAACATGTTCAGTAAAGGTAACTGGGCACACTCCAGTTCTTCCAGTCCAGGGCAAAGAAGGCAGCTGTTTGTGGAGGGCAGTAGCCACTGATCACACTTCCTCATCCTGTTACTGACTCGCCTTCTGCCCTCTCTTCTCCAGACAAAGAGATTCCAATTGTCGGGCCTTGGAAGGCTGCTTTTGAAATAAGACCCCAGGCCCTATGCACTAGGCAATAGGACCAAAACACTAGACATGCTATTGGGCCATTTAACTGGGAAGTTCCATGAATCACGACCACAGCCTCCGAATAAGTAACCCCATGGGATGTTTGGTTGTGTATAAACAGCCTCACCCAGTACTTTCTTTTTAGTTGTCATTGTCAGTATACCTATCACACAACGTTTGCCAGTTCACCTTTTATATAGAAATATAGCTTATTGACTATAATTACAATAATCAGCTTATAACCCCTAATTAATATATTTTTCTCTCCCTGTTAACCCCATTTCTCCCGCCCTATTCCTCCTGGTAACAACTAGTAAACTTTAGTCTGTATACATTTGCCATATGTCTTTTTATATAAGTGAGGACAATACTATATTTGTCCTTCATGACTAGCATTTCATGCAGCATAATGTCTTCAGGTTCCATCCATATTATAGCATGTATCAAGACTTTGTTTCTTCTATTGGCTGAGTAGAAGAAAATGTTTTCAGTGAATATGTACCACGTTTTGCTGGTCCAATTATTTGTTGATGGGCACTTAAGTTGAGTCTACCTTTTGGCTATTTTGAATAGTGCTGCTGTTAACATTGGCACACAAGTCCCTGTTTGAGTATCTGCTTTCAAGTCTTTTGAGTTTATACCTAGAAGTGGGATTACTGGGTCCTGTGGTGATCTTGGAACCCTGTTGGTGTACTGGTTCCTTGTTGAGCTGCTTACCACAAGGCTAGAAGTTGAGAGCCACCAGCCTCTTCACAGGTGAACTATGAAGCTTTCTACTTTGGTAAAGTGTAACACCCTTGGAAACTGACAGGGGCAGTTCCTCCCTGTTCGATAGGGACCCTCTCTCTGAGTTGGAACCCACCACTTGTCTGTCAGTGTGTCACACTGTGGTGACTTGTATGTTACTGTGATGTTGGCAGCGATGCCACTGTTATTTCAAATGTCAGCAGGGTCACCCAAGTGAAGAGGTTTCACTTGGCAACTGACGAACTCTGCCAACGTTTTCAGTCTGAAATTGATCAAACATGCAGTCAAGATACATAAGTAATTTTTGGTGATTGGAATGTAAAAGTTGGAAACGGGAAGGAACAGTAGTTGGTAAATATGATCTGGTGAGAGAAAAGAAGCCGGAGGTCGCAGGATAGAATTATGAAAGAACAGTGACTTGTTCATAGCAAATGCCTTGTTTCCAACAATAGAAAAGACAACTGTACACATGGCTTCTCCAGATGGAAGCCACAGAAATCAAGTTGACTTTATCTGTGGGAAGAGACAATGGTGAAACTCAATATTAGCAACTAAAATCAGACCAGGGCTGACTGTGGAACAGACCAATTAAGTGCTCATATGTAGGTTCAAGTTGAAGTGAAAGAATGACCCGTCCCGCAGGTCATCAAACAACGTGGATACCTGAAAAAGGGACTAGGAATGAAGAGGGGCAAGAGACGCGAGAAATGGAGACAAGACAGGAGTCTGATCAAGCCTCGTTTATTGAGCAGAAGGCAGAGGCCTAAATACCCAATGG